GGGTTTAGGGTTTAGGGTTTAGGGTTTAGGGTTTAGGGTTTAGGGTTTAGGGTTTAGGGTTTAGGGTTTAGGGTTTAGGGTTTAGGGTTTAGGGTTAGGGTTTAGGAAGGGTTTTTTCCAGCTGTCTCGAGTCTGGTTCCATGCGTCATCGGCTATTTGGTTTTATAGGGTTCTTCAGGGAGGGTATGGTTCTCTAGGTACCTACTCCCTTCAGAACCTTAGAATTATCTTTTGCAAAGACCGTACACCCTCAGCCCGCGCATGCCTTAGGTGAAATCTCCGACCACCCATGCACCTCTCAAGCAAGAAAAACGTAAGCCCGAACTCCCCAAATCAAAACAAAATTAAAACGCAAACAAAACAGCAGGAGCTAGCAATAAGTCTGATGATGATGATGATGATGCTGATGATGATGATCATACACAACCAGCAACGCAGCGCGGCGAAAGACAAGAATAACAGATACATGAGCTACTGGCCAGAATTACAAAATGATAAGAACACCACCAAGCACCCTGAAACCTACACCCCATAGGCCCATTTGCAGCATTCCGTAGCCCAGCTTCGGCAGGGTGTGGCAAACGACCCAAACCCGAAACCCTGAACACACCCGAAACCCTAAAGCGAAACCCTCAACCCTAAATCCTGTTCCAGCGCAACCCGGCAAACCCCCAGTGGCGGTCCTGGAAGAGCTCCAAGCTGAGAACGCCCCGAGGCTCAAGGCCTGGTAGGGTTTAGGGTTTAGGGTTTAGGGTTTAGGGTTTAGGGTTTAGGGTTTAGGGTTCAGGGTTCAGGGTTCAGGGTTCAGGGTTCAGGGTTCAGGGTTCAGGGTTGTAGGGTTGTAGGGTTGTAGGGTTGTAGGGTTGTAGGGTTGTAGGGTTGCAGGGTTGTAGGATAATAGGATTGTAGGATTGTGGGGTTGTGGGGTTCAGGGTTGCAGGGTTGCAGTTTTGTAGGGTTTTAGGGTTGCAAGGTTGTAGGGTTGCAGGGTTGTAGGGTTGGAGGCTTGTAGGGTTTTAGGGTTTAGGGCTTAGGGTTTGAAAGGTCTTTAAAGGGTTTAGGGCGTTTAGGGGTTGTTATTGTTTGGGGTTTTTAGGGTTAAAGGTTTTTAGGGGATGTTTAGGGCACTTTGGGGGTTTTATGGCTTACTGTAGAGGTTTTAGGGCTTAAGTTTTTTCAAGGGTGGTTTGGGCGTTTAGGTTGGCCAGGTGGCAGGTTTCAACTCGTGATCTTCACAAAGTAACCGGAATAGCTGGAGTCGTTGCCAAGCCACATTGCTGCGCATGCGGTTGCGAAAGTCCGGCAGCAAAGCCTGGCTCCCCGAAACGTTCATCCGGATGAAAGTGACCCTTTTCGTCATCTTGCATCGCATGCCCACGTGCAGCGGCAAGAAGCACATCAAATTACCGGTTTGGCTGGACATGTTTGTCAGGCCTCCTGCAGGATGTCTTTCGTGGCACAGGGCTTAGGGCTTAGAGGGCAGAGGGCTTAGGGCTTAGGGCTCAGGGCTTAGAGCTTAAGGCTTAAGGGGTCAGGGCTCAGGGCTCAGGGCTTAGGGCTTAGGGTTGAGGGGCTTAGGGTTTAGGGGGTTAGGGTTGAGGGTTTAGGGTTTAGGGGGTTAGGGTTGAGGGTTTAGGGTTTAGAGTTTAGGGTTTAGGGTTTAGGGGGTTAGGGTTTAGGGTTTAGGGTTTAGGGGGTTAGGGTTTAGGGTTTAGGGTTTAGGGTTTAGGGTTTAGGGTTTAGGGTTTAGGGTTTAGGGTTTAGGGTTTAGGGTTTAGGGTTTAGGGTTTAGGGTTTAGGGTTTAGGGTTTAGGGTTTAGGGTTTAGGGTTTAGGGTTAGGTTTAGGGTTTAGGGTTTAGGGTTTAGGGTTTAGGGTTTAGGGTTTAGGGTTTAGGGTTTAGGGTTTAGGGTTTAGGGTTTAGGGTTTAGGGTTTAGGGTTTAGGGTTTAGGGTTTAGGGTGTAGATTCCAGATACTTTGCACACTTTGCACAACCAAAACGCTGTTCTGCATGACCTTGTTGTTGTTCTGCGATCTCTGCTGTGGTTTCAGTCCCTGGTCGTTTTCCGGTGTAGGGTTTTAGAGGCTTTGGGGGTGTAGGGCTTAGGGCGCTTAGGGGTTTTGGAGGTTTAGAGTTGTTGCGTGGTCTTCGGGGCTTTCAGGGATTACCTGGGTTTAGGGTTTAGCGTTCAATATTCTAAGCTCGGGTTGCTTCCGGGGAGTTGGGGGGTCAGGGTGCTTATGAAGCCTTTTCGGCTTTAGGGCTTGCAGGCAACGAAAGGGTGCAACGCTCAGGGTTTCGAGTTTTGAGTTTCGAGGGTGCAAGGGCTTACTTAGGGTGTATAGGGTTCAGGACTTGGGGAGTCTATGATATAGGGTTTAGGCCTGAGGCCCCCAAACCCTGAGCCTTACTAAACCCTAAAGCCTAAACCCTGAACCCTAAACCCTAAAACCCTAAACTCCAGTAGGGTCTCGGTCCTGGGGCGTCGAGGCAGGTCATGTTGCCAAGAACGGGCGGCTGGAAATTCAGGCCACAGATCCTCACCAGCACACCCTACCGAAGAAGTTCAGGGTTCAGGCTTTGCGGTTTAGGATTTAGGGTTGAGGGTTTAGGGTTCAGGGTTTAGGGTTCAGAGTTTAGGGGTTAGGGCTTAAGGTTTAGGGTTTAGGGTTAGGCATATCAGCCAGACACCCAACCCCAAGCACCCGAACACCCTAACACCGTAACCCCTGAACCCTCAACCCCTTCAGAACTCGACCTCTGGCTATTTAGGGACCCTTCTTGTGATCTACGGAGTAGTCCCTAAACCCGAATCCCTAAACCCCTAAACCCCTAAACCCCGAAACCCTTAAACCCCTAAACCGTACTCCTGCAGGTTCCTACTACCCGCCTCTCGAGACTGGGCCAGAAGGTTTAGGGGTCAGGGTTTGAGCTGTCGGGTTTAGGGTTCAGGGCTTGAGGGTCGAGAGTTAAAGGCGTTCAATCAGCCCAGCCAACAAAGCCCGTCCCAAATCCCAATCCCGCGGCGAGCACTGCAAAAACACAGCGTTCTCCAGTCCCCGGAATCCGCAAGACTTGAGCCACACATCTGACATGCCCTACAAACCCAAGTTTAGGGCTACAGGTTTAGGGCTTAGGGCTTAGGGTTTAGGGCTAAGGGCTTTGGCGCTGTTTTTCTCCCCTAGACCCTAAATTCTAATGTTTGCACTGTGTTAATATACCCCTCCGATTAGACCGGTCCACCCCCCGAAAATGCCCGCCCGTCCGATTAATCAACCCACCCGATTAGACCGGTCCTGGCCTCATGTTGATTTTTTTGGGTGATATGTGTGCGAGCCCTCAAGTCCCAAACCCAGACTATGGACTAGCGAGCTGCCCGACGCGAGTAGACCGGTCCTCTGCCCTCATGAGTTTTTTGTTTGAGGATGATGATTCATGTCCTTGCTTCTCAACACGTGTGCTTGCCTAAGGCAAATCTGCAAACATGACGCGGCCCTCTCTTTACATGCACATCGGGCCATGGAATCTTCTCTGTGGACAGGCGGTCATGAACCGGGACAGTAAAGAGAATGTGCAGGCTGAGTAGCAGACAAAGCAATGCATAGAGCATAGGAATTGAGGATTGGCACTGCATGCGGGGCCCTTCAGGGCAACACGAAGGCAAGTGCTTTGCCAGTACGGCATCTGATGCCCTTCGAGGCAGCACAAAGGCAACACTCTTGCCGGTACGGCACCACCCCCACTGTCAAAGGTGGCGCAGGGGAAGGCGGCGGGCATTGCTTCGGGCTACAACCGGAGCACAGGACGCCCAAGGCGGCCGGGAAGTTGCAAGCTCTGGGCAAGGTGGGTGACCAAAGCCCCCATCATCACAGAGGAACAACTGAGAAGGACTTGACCCAAGGGCCCAAGGCCTGAGCAGCGGGGGCAACCGCCCTCGGCAAAGCTGTTCGAACCCACTTCAGAGGGCTCATCACGCAGCCAAGCGATGAGCTCGTACAGAAGTTACAGAAGTGCATCGAGAAACTGAAAGGCTACTCCCAACGTCTGCTTCCTCACGCTAAGCACCAAAAACCGCCCCACTATGTAATGTGTTTGTGGCCGGGAGATCACGGCGGCTGCAAAGGCAAGCAAAAACAAACTGGGAGCAGACAGCTGCCGAAAAGAGCCTAACACCCGAGTCAGGAAGGCTATGAATCGCACCCAAAATGTGCAACGCTGCGTGACACGACCGACTGCCAGCGATGGGGCTGCTGACCATCCCTCGCGAAATGCCCCCATACCGGAGCCCCGAGCACCGACAGCAGGCCTGAAGGCGTTTTTGTCTGAGTCTGAGCTGCAGGCTCTGCAGCCCGAAACCGTGTTGTGCATAGCAAGAAAAACAGTTGCGCTGTGGCCGCAACATCTCGCTAGACTCGAGGTCCATGAGCTTGCGTTTTCATGCGTTTTCGCATTCTGCCGCGGGGCCGTCTCTGCAGCGCCAGTCACGTTAGGGATCCCCAGTCTCCTTAATGCTCCCCCTTAATTCACCCCGCCTGCGGTCACAATTTCATAGTTTTTTGCAAAAGTATTGTTTGGAGCCAGGTTTTGCAGCCATGCCCTTGCGTGGCCGTCACCTTTCAGCACCGTACAAGCGTCGCCTTCTTGAGGGCTACCGAATGCTCGGCACATATACCTTTCGCGCGTGGGCCGCACTTTAGAGCAAGTTGCAGCCCGACGCCGCGCGCTGGACGCATGCTTAGAGGGCTTCGTGAACTGGATGTATGAGAGACGCAGGGAGCAGCTTTTCGCTGCGCGTGGCCAAGCATGCAGTGCTTTCGGTGCAGCATATCTATACCCCCGTTTCCACCGCAGGCTCAACTTGGCCTGAACCGTCGCAGTCTGGGAAGAAGTCACAGATCGTTTGGGCGCAGCCGCCCCTTCCCTTGTCGGTTTTGGCCACGTTTGTCACACATGCACGTGCGCAGGCCAGCGTGCTCCGCAGAACTCGCCAGCTATGATTGCGCTTCGCCATAGGACTAGAACTGGGTTTCTTTGGGTTGCTACGGCCAGGTGAAATTTTTGGGTTAGTCGCTGCCCATATCACGCTCCCTGACTCGTGGGTGTTTGCTTCCCGGGGCGCAGTGCTGCGCATAGAGACACCTAAGAACCGCCGTCACCTCAGTCGTCACCAGTTCGTGCTGGTTGAGCACGCTCCTTGCTGTTGCGCCCTAGCTGCCGTCCTGCCTGGTCTTCGCGCTTCAGGAAGACTGTGGCCGTGGGGGCCTGCGCGCTTTCGGAGTTTGTTTCGGCAGGTAGCCTCGAAGTTGGGCGTCTCGCAGCAGGGGTTCAGTCCTGCGTCACTGCGCGCGGGCGGTGCTTCCCACTTGCACTTGTGCGGGATGGCAATCTCGAGGTTAAAGTTTCGCGGCAGGTGGACTAGTGAGCGCACTTTGGCCCAGTACGCGCAGGTAGCGTTAAGTCGTCAGGTTCAGTTGTCGCTGAGTGCTGTAACAAAGCGAGCAATCACCACGCTCGTCCGTCATGGGGGTTCTTTTCTGTTGCTAGCTGACGGCTCAAGCCTGCAGTTCCCCTGTCTTGCGCCGGACCTCCCAGCTGTACTTGCAGCCTATGGAACACTTGACTGCCCTGCATGGTTCCAAGCAAGTGTTGCAGGGCCCGCTGAAGGGTACCGCTTTCAAGGACCTCACCTGGGCGCAGCTCGAGCGCTTGTCCAATCGTTGCTCCGAGCCGGAGCTCCGCAACTATGCGCGTGCAGCCATGGGGACACGGGCGCTGGAACCGGCTGAGCTGCAGCCTTGCAAACCAGTGGATTGCAACTAGTACTAACCCACACGTGAACGAGGGACTTGAAACCAGCAACACGGTAGCAAAGAACCCTGCGCAATAATGAGTTAAGATTCTTGGATGAACTGCGGCCTTTGGCCCAAGCCCCGCATACCACGCGCGAGTCACAGAGATTCACTAAGCGCTGGCCAGTGCCACATCTCTTAACTGCGGTCTTCAACTGCTTGATGGCAACTTTCATTTCCTGCACGTTATTAATGTGGCTCGAAGCTTTAAACTTAGACCTTTCAGTAACACGCCAGCGGGCACACAACAGAGCTTGCTCTAGCTCATCTGGAGCCTGCACTATGCCAGAGGTTGGCATTATCGCTCCACATGCCCAGTCAAGCCGAACGGCTTCGCCCTTATGCACGGCGAACCTGTAGCAGAGCTCAGTTAGCTTGGCTGGAACTTGGGCGACCGCACGACCTGCATGGGTCAGTGTAGCATCTGTAGCACTGATCTCATTCGAAACTGGCCACCTCACGCATGCGTGAGCAAAGGGGAGAAGCAACGTAGCCCACAACAGTTCTTCTCGGCACTTCTGGGGCAAAGGAGTCAGTTTGGATTTGGGCATGCTGTCAATGACCCTTTAGGTTGCTTGAAAAACAGCCTTCGTTCTCTCCTATGCATGAAGGGGTGCACAAACAGGCCCACGAGCCGTTGCAACAGCTTTCTGTTGACACCTGGCAGCAGCTGCAAGAACTGCCGGCTGGCGACGACTAGATGGCGCAGTTTCTCAAGCGGTGCTCCAACTCGTCCTGAGCTACTATCAACATGAGTACCCCACGCCTGGAAGTCGTAAGCTTTAGCAACGGCCTTCTTAGAGGAGACTGGTATCTGCAATTCCCTGTAATGTTGGCGTGATGCGGAAAGGGTTTCATCATCCCGCTGCAGGGTGCGTGAGGTTCCTTTCTGGCATTTTTGCACCGCGATCTGATCATCTATGTAAAGATCTTCCCAAGTTGACCCTGTGGGAGTCGGGAACCCAGAGCGCAAGGTTTCCGCACCCTCCAGACATCCTACTTCTCTGAGGATGGCTTCGTACCCCGTTAAGATCACCCATAGGAACAGCTCTTAAGGCAATGTAATAGGCTGGCAGCAAACCTCTGAATCTTACCACCTGAGATGGGTCTTCCAACTGCATTTCTGGGGATCCAGGCGTCTAGGTGCTTCAGCAAGTGAAAATAGTTTGATATGTCATCAGCACTCCCTCGGACAGACTCCCACGGGTGGAGAATTAGCTGGGCCAGCATGGGGCCTTGCGGAAGCGTGGCTCAGCACAGGTCGAAGGAAGCGCAGCGCAGTTGAGAGAGTCTTTCCCGGACGAGCCTTTCAGCAGCCTCGAAGTCAAGGCCTCGGTGCTGTCGAGGCTGGGGAAGGAGTGGCTGGCCAACGCTGGCGCAGGGATCCACACAGCCACGGCGTCAGAGGAATCAGAGGCCAAGGAAGTGCCCCAGAGGCCCTCCCGATCGGGCACCCCAAGCAGTTCGAGCTCAGAGGTGGTCTCTGGCGGGGAAGAGGACGACGAGGACGAGGACGGCGACCTGTTGAGATTCCTGAAAGCAGCGCGGCAGCGCAGACTTCGACGTGGACAGTGCTGTGGCGAAGTTGTTGCAGGAGAGTGCTGCAAGCAAACCAGATCTGCAAACGCTGCAAGCCCTCGTGATGATGAA